GGCTAGGGATTGGGTTTGGGAGAAATAGCTTACCTTTCGAATTGTAGGATTTGGGAGAGATCTCCTACTCTCGAATTGTAGGTGTTGATCTTTTATGTGCAGTGTTGTTTGTGTTATTGAAGAAAGAAATTTATTTTGCTCTAATTTTTGTGCGGAAATTTGTATCTGATTGCATCAGCCTTCTAGAGTTAAGAACCGATGGAAGCCAAGTGTTTCATTATCATTTACCCACTTTCCAAAATGAAAACACTCAAATGCAAGTTAATATTGATATTTGAATAAGACTATCATGTTGTATTACGATAAATATTTTTTAACTCATAATTCCATTATAAAGTATGAGATATATCATGTTTATACGATACTTCATGATAAATCATGGGCCATTTTCCACAAAGAAGCCAGCATATCCATGCGTGGTTCATACATTAATATAAATAATAACTAAATGGATATTACTTGCACACAAACACAAATAGTTTACATGCTTATTTACTATCAGACAAGCATATATGGTGGCAGATATTAGGAGAGGGGGGCTGATGCCACCCGCATTTTCCTTTTGCGAAATATTGCCAGCCCTGCCTTCGTTTTCCCGCAGCACGCTTTCTTCCACAACAGCCAGCAGATATTTATACCATTGGCTTGCTGTTCTCAGTTTCTGCACTGCAATAAGCCTTTTGCCCACTGCTTTCAGTTTCATCACAGCAAGAAACTTGAGCCACTGTTAAGAATTCAGGCTCTGTGGAAGAATGAATCCTATACTCAAGCCACAATGTGGGAGGGTGTTACTGCAGCTGGAACGGAGGAAAGAGTCATGCAGAGGCATGCAAGAAAGAGCAGAGGAGGAGCCTCTAGTGTGAGGGGGATCGGACACATGTTGGTCAGTGCAAGGTGAGAGCAGGGAAGGGTGGCTCCACGTGATCAGAGAGGGAACAAGCACAGGGTGAAGGAGCTGGGCTGCTTCTCTGGCATGTGAGGTGAGGGATGAGATGGGATGGGACGTGAACGAGGCAATCTGGTGTTTCAACACTGGAGCGAAGAGAGGAAGTGGTCACAAGCTCCAACAGGGAGTTGCTGCACGTGATTTGCGAACATATAGAGCGGGAGAGACCACGAACGGCAGTAGAGAGAGCGAACGGTGCTGGGTTTGGGGTGAGGTTTACTTTATTTTATTTTATTTGTTTGATAGGTCATAAGGGATAAGGTCGAACGGCTAGGCAAGGGAAGTGGAGGATGGTGCAAGATGGGAAAAGGCTGAATTCATGTAGATTTTCATGCCAACAGCTCACAAATAAGGATCAAATAGTATGGTTGTGATTTATAGATAATTTTGACATCTTGGATGCGTTCGTACAGCTTGTTTTGCAAAATAAGATTGTTTAAGCAATTACGATGGTTCTTGCAACAAGTTAACTTGAGCTCAAATCACGCCCACCATGTCTATATTTTTTTTTTGTTTTAGCATGCTTAGTTATTTTAATTACAAAATGTCCATTATTTGATAACAGTTCAGCCATGTTTGCATAGTCTGTTTAGCAAATGTGCACCGAAAATAATAATGTTTTGAATGTTGATTATATCTAAAATTAATATTGCTGAGATTTAAAGTAAGACCTCAATAATTATAGGATACGAATATGCTTTGTGCTCCCGCTTTAAAAATTTTCTAGCTCCGCCACTATGTTGAAATGTATTCGTGGAGAGCAAGCGAATAATATGATCCAGTGATTGACTTCATAAAAAGTGGTTTAAAGTAAAAAACGAACCCCCTTTGACATGTTCTTTTTCCCAAACCATCTACATTTAGAGTTGTAATCAAGCTAAGCCAAGCCACAGATGTCTCGGGTTGGACTTGGTTTGGCTATATTATAAGTTCTTTATGTTCAGCACGAGCTTGAGCTTAGATTTTATATATATTTTCATACTTAGCTTAATTAAAATTTCTACAAATTACACTTGGCTTGTAGTTGATTTGTTTATATTAATTAAGAGATCATTTCGACGAGTTAATGAACAAACTAAAATTCAAATTAGTAATTAATTTTTCATATAAAATTATAAACAAATTATTTTAAAAATCTATATAAACAAACAGTTGAATAAATTTTGAATTATGATCTAACTAACTTACATCAATTAAATAAAATAATAATAATTTACAATTAAGCTTTCCTGTAATAAAAAAATATAAGTAAATACTAACAAACTATTTAATTGAAATAAAAAAGAAAGAAAAAATTAAATCAAATTATAAAGAATATTGATATTAATTTATAATATGTTATAATTAAATATATAATTAAATAATTTCAAGTTAATCAAATTTTATTTAAATAATATATCATATATGATATAAGCTATCATCGAACTTACTAAAGAGTAACTACTTATTGAAGAATAAATGAATTTGTTCGTGAATACAAATAAATTATTTGGATTGTATTTAAGTTTGATTCATTTAACCTTCTAGCTCTTAAGAAATGTTCAAACCTTTTCCTTACTAATTAGAACAAACTTTATCAACTTTTAATCGAGCCAAGTTCAAATTGTTTATCAAGTCGATTGGTTCATTTATAGGAATCTACACCTTCCTTATAATGTTATTGACTAATAGATTCTCATTAACAACCTATCTTATTACTTGCAATTTATATATGTATGACATCCTGAGCACTAATCAATATCAAACCAAAATGATCGCCTAATGTCTTCTTATCCAGAGCTTCTTATTATTTAAGGCAAAGCTAGTTCTATGAAGATGCTCAATCACAATCATATTAATAGTTTTGCACTTCAAAACCTTTCATGAAACTAGCGAATCTTCAATCTAGCAGGCCACATTCTGCAACTAGCTACTATCTCAGGCTACTATGTGTTTGGCACTTAGTAGACATCACAGCATAAGATAAGTTTTTTTCCCCCTATTCTTTTTTCTTAATCTATGAATGGTTAAAAAATGAGAATGCCTCCAAAATCTTAGCACCGTCCATCTTCTAGTTTGTGAGGGTTAAGATTTAATCATCTCATGTCACAATAAAGACCTATCCTCTTCTTCAGAGTTGTTCTTTGAGCTTTGATTTGGTTATTCTGGTATTATTTCCAGCATGGCAAGAAAAACATTAGATGCTTGATAAGTAATCATTTCTTATTGCCATGAAAAACCAAAACAATGTTGAGCATAAGTAGTCTCCTATTCTTTATTTTTTTGATTCATAATTACTCCCATATGAAAAAAATTACTCTTCCTATCCATGATGAACTACACTCTTAAAAGCCACTGATTTATGGTGTGGCAAAAATATATTTTAATGACATGATTAGTAAAAGGAACTATATTTTTACTAGTTCATGCATCCCTTTATATATTAGATTGATAGTTTTATTAGAAATTTTGTTAATGTGTTGTTTGCCTAAATTTCAATAAATTATCATTTTGATTGCAACCATTAACAGCATCAATAGCCTTTGTCCTAATAATATTGGTTGTTTTTATGAATTGTAATTTTGCAATCATCCCTTGAAGTGTTGCATGTGATTCATGACCAAGTAAATCATTTTGCACCAACTTGTCAAGTAAACTTTGGCCTCCAATTCTTCAAGCAACAATTTTCTATTTTCCCTTCTCTCTGATGCAGGTAAAACAGATAGCCCATCTTCCCAATAATCAATGGTCTTTTCTTTGCTTTGCATGCCAAAACTACACAATTTATTTTTCCATAGCTTTAGTTTTCACAGGTGCTGCATCTCCTGTGCCTTCTCTAATATATTTACACCATTCTTATCCATCCTAAAAATATCATTTCCAAGACAATCAACATGTTTGTTTACAACCATCGTTAGAAAAGCTTACCTTAGAAAATTTATAAAGCAATCCTCATATATGGTCTAATCACATAATTCTTTGCCATCTTAGTCACGTAGATACGTAATTGTCTTCTCGAATATAATAATCAGAAATTTTGACACCCAAAGGAATATTTTTTTCTAAAAGTAAATTATCAATAGCTCTGTTTTTTTATAAAAGTGCACAGGTTTGTTATAGCAATTTTATGTTTAGCAATTACCCAAACAATATAATTTATTAGGCCTGATAACTTAATTTAGTGGGCCACCTATTTATTTCAGTGTAACTCAACTCCTCACAAGACAATCTTTTCCTAGGAAGTACTAAAAATGCAGATATTATGCAGTAAATTGCACCAGCATGAACAATATGATAAAAAAAATTGGGCAGTCATGACAATTCATAAACGGTAGTTCCACCAACGTGAACCAGGTATGGAGCAGACGCAGAAGCCAATTCAAAAGTCATTACAGTAGAATGCTACTTTTTCAAAACAATCTAAGGAATCATTTTGAAAAATGCCAGAAAATAGTAAAATAATAACAGTCAATCTGTCAGAAGAGCAAAAAAAAGAACTTGCAAAGCCCACACCATCAAGTTACATGAAGGAACAGCTTAATTAACAAAACATGTGTGATGCCACCTGGAAGGCCTACACCCACTGCAAAAACTTAAAAATATAAAAAGGATAGATACTTCTAACTTATTAGGTAACTCAAGTCGCGAAGGGATACATAAGGAAATTATGCCTGTTTCTCGGGATCACATACTATGAGATTTGTTGCTCATAATTACCAAAAAATTAATTTAACCAAAGTTAAATCACTTTCGAAACAAATTATATGCTGTGATATGAACTCGGCTCATCCGCATCAGAATTCACTTATCATATATATGTTACAAGAAGCTTGTTCAAAAAACGATTATTTGAGACTTGAGATTAGCTTTAAAAAACGATTTACTTCTTCAATCATTATTTATTTATTGTTATCGAAATTTACGAGTGTTCTAACCCTAATTTATGCAAGTCTATCATGAACTTCACCCAATAAAAGACTACAGAAATCCCTATCGATGAAAACCATACAGTACATAAATATCTCTTGAACAGCTAAAACAAAAAGATATAGAAATAGGTTGGCAAAGCTCTTACCGGCGCCACTCCCGCAGAATAAACCCTTCCTCCGGATGCATCTCGCTGGGGGGCGGGAGTACCGGGCCATCAGAAGCGAAGAATCCTCCATTCTCCTCCTCTCCGTGCACCTTCCCGTTAAGTTCCGGTATGATGAAAGGCGAAGCGTCGGAAGAAGGAGAAATACTACCGGGTCCAGAAACAAGGTGTTCTTGGGAATTCTCGTCGGCACCGAAAGCTCCACCAGATACTGCATGGACGCCGGAGGTAAGATGATCGTCGGAGATCACCGTGGGATCGCCTGAATCCTCATCCGCTGCGAAGCTGGGGTAGGACTCATAGCGCTGGGAAGGAAGGCGGGGATCATAACCCACGTAAGTGTCATCGTCGCCGAAGGGGGATGCCATCTGACTCTCTCGTCTTTCACTAGTAAGCGTCCACAGACTCTATCACCGACGATCCTATGCCCAACTTTTGCTCGTGGCAGTGGGAAGAAGATAAGAGTGACAGCACTCTTTAATAATTGTAGCATTTACAAGCTTGGCTCTCACAAATAGTGAAAAAATTTGAGTACATAACACTCACCGCGACGTCTGTAACTTGAAATTATGTTACATGAATATTTGGAGGTTATAATCGGGCTATAACCCCTGCAACCTCCCTGTAACCTATCTGTACCTTCTAGTAAGTTCCGTATTTCTATTGTTATATATAGATAGATTACAGAGGTTATAACGAGGTTATAATTATATAGGTATGTTACAGGGAGGTTACAAGGGTTATAACGCGGTTATAACCTCCGAATATCTTCCCTGTAACTTATTTGAGTTACATTTGTAAGTTACAGACATACGCAACTCTGCGTACGTCTTATGTACACAATTTTTTCCCACTATTAGGGGTGTAAACTAGCCGAACACAAGCCCATAATCAGTTTTTGTTTGACTCGTTTATATTTTGAGCTAAAAAACTGTGTTCGTGTTCGGCTCGTTTGCTTAGCGAGCAACGTGTCAAATACGAGCCGTTCACGAACAAAGAGTCGTTTTTACAACCCTCATCAGGTAACCATAAGATGTTAAGGATTAGGACAAGATTTAAAAATTATTGTTTATATCAAAACATCATTTGAATCTAATTTAATATTTTTTATTTTATTTTCTTAATTAATACTTCTAATTGATTATAATTTTTTGTAGCTTTCTAGTCAATTAATTTTTTTAAAAATACTACTCATCAAAGATATATATATAATTTATTAGTAGTATTTCGAGCTAAAACGAGCCCAACACGAACAAGCAAATCTTTGTTCGTGTTGTTCGTGTTCGGCTCGTTGACTTTGCGAATGAGCCGAACATAAGCTTCTTAGCTAGCCGAACACGAGTTGTTCACGAACAACGAGCCGTTTTGACAGCCCTACTCACAATTCTTATAAATTTATGTATCTAAGATTTAAATTTGTTTTTTTTATATTTACAACATCCAAATATTTCATATTGGAGTAAATAATATCAATATTTTAACTTTTAAAAATTGACATAAATATATTCATACATGGATAAAAACATATACTGAATGTAAATATAATATTTTAGGTATTAATATGTAAATACATAAAATTTTGCCGTCATGTACAAAAATCTTCCATAAATTTTTTTTTTCTTCCATAATAGCTGAGTGCATTTAATAATCTAATATGATCTGATTGAAAGAGTAGATGTTTTAGAATTGACTTGAGTTAAGAAAGACACGGGTAAACCTAGAAAGACGTGGGCATATTCTATAAAAAATGATCTTAATTTGTTAGAATTAATTGAAAATAAGAGACTAAATTGGGCACAATGGAGAAAAAAGATTCATGTAGCCGACCCCACTCAGTGGGAAAAAGGTTTTGTTGTTAGTGTTCTTGTTGAAGTGAAATGAAAAAAAACTTAAGGATGTACATGCATGCCACATAATTTTTATCTTGTCCAATCAAAATATATACAAATTATATTTTATTTCTATAAAAATTATTTCGACAATAATTTTGATATGCTATTAAAAATTTAAATACTATACAAGTAAATATTAAAATTTAGGTATAAAATGTATAAATCAATAAGAAGTATATGATATATAAACTCAAAAAAATCAATTTAAGAAAAAATGTCATGTTGCAAATGGTCTCATTCAATCCCACTTTACTAGGCATTTTTTGTGTTAGGCGCTCACATTGTGACCATTCTTTTATTATTATTATTATTATTATTATTATTATTATTATTATGGAAAATCCTATGAATCATTTAAGATTTAGGGTCTATTTGAGATAGCTCTATATCCGCTTTGCTTTCATATCGTCACAGTTTTGTTTGTAAAACAGCTTTCTTACTGCTTTTTAGAAATTTATATAGTATAAAACTGATTTTTTGACTTGAGCTATTAAGAAGTTGTGGCTGCCAGAAAGCTAAGATATGATTTTTTGAAATAAAATAAATTTTCAATACTCACCACAATTTTTTAAAAAATAATTTTTTATGCAGCATCTTAACAGTTGTTTCTTCAAACGGCTACCGCTGTCCCAAATAGGCATTTAATGTTTAGCTTTTTGCTCGTGACTCCATAATATAACTAATCTTATGTATGAAAATAGAAGGTATTGGCAAAATTTTTAAGTGCAATTATAAGAGCTTTAAGTTCACATAATTTTTTAAATATAAATAAATTAATTAATCTTTTTTGTATTATTTGATAAAAAAAATTAAATTAGAGTTTTAACTAGAAATACATTTTTTTTAAAAATTAATAAAATTGAGAATGGTCTTAATTGCATATTAAATAGTTGGCTTGCATTGTCATATCAATAGTATGAGTGTATAATTGTCCCCATGATCCTTAGTGTCTTGATTTTAACTATCATTAATATATTATAAAACTTTGAACGGCAATTTTATTATAGCTTGTGATGAAAATTGGCTTGTCATTAGGACCACCTAGAACAAAAAGATTGTATTTTTTTACACAAAAATAAATAAATTGTATATCTCTTTTATAAAATACATAAACTAAAGGGTCGTTTCCGGATTACTCTTGTTTTGAGTATTTTTAAAAATAAGCTAAATTATTTTAAAAAATAAATAAATGGACGAAAAATTACACTAAATAAATATATTTTGAAAATAAAAGCAAAAAACAAAAAAATAAACTTGATCATATACAAGTTCTAAGCTTTTAAAATTGGAATGAATCAAGCGAGTGAGAAATAGCTTAATCCTAAAAATGCCGAAATTGAAAATCTCAAAATAAAGTGTATTAAAATAATTTGTGTTATAAAATTTTTTTTTTTAAAATATCTTGTAATACCTCAATACAAATAATCTTAATTAATTTTCTAAAATTAAGCCTTAATATGTTTTACATTTTATAAAAATTAAAAACTATGAAAAATATATTTATTTAAGAAAATTTGCAAAATATTATGATACTCATAAAATACGATTCACTGTGAAATTTTGCCAAAAAGTTTGGGATGTGAAAAAATGATTCCTAAGAGTCGCTATAAAGTACTTAGTAGGTCTCAGTTGTTAATGAATTTTCACAAATTTTAATTCGGTAAATAATAAAAATGTGCAATATTGTGACTATTGCCAGTACTTATTTTAATATATTTAGACTTAGGATATAAACAATCTCATAATAATCTAACATAAAGATTGACTAGTAAAAACATACAAGATTGTTAGCCACCTAATCTTCTATTCACAGCAAAATTCTTTATATTTTAAAAGATCTCTGAGAGAAAGAAAAAATAAAATCACTCAATTTTTTTCTAGAAAATTGATTTGAAATACTTCTTTGCTTGTTGAATGAGTATCAAATTTTTAATGCAAGTTATGATGGAAATCCCAAGTGATGGTGTGCACTTTAGGCATAGACACAAGTTGCAATCAAATCATATAAAAACTATAAATATGCTATTGCTTTATTCTTTCTATTTGGTTATTTTATTATATTTAGTTTATTCCCAACTTGCTAATCTATATTATATGAAAATTCTTATTTGAATATTTTATAAATTTTGAATCCTAATTCACCCCTCTATTAGACAAGCATAAAACTTGTATTTGGCACCATAACCTCAACTTCATAAATTGGTTTTATATCCAACAGTGATTATTTGGGCATATATATTATTGTAATGACTTTTGATCAAATGGTGTTATAAAGTGCATGCCATAACACATATTTTTGTAATGATAAGATATTTGCAATCATTTAGCAAAAAAGATTTGAATCGTATTTAAAAGATTATAAAATTATGACTTCTGTCAATGTTGCTGGGAAAAAAAATAAATAGTGGACTTCAAATTAAAGTTAGGATTGCAAAATGGTAAGAGAGTGAATGTATTACACTATACTTAGGACACAATGAACAAAAATAATTAATGTAGCCAGCCCCACTTAGTAGGATAAAGGCTTGTTGTTCTTATTGTTGTATACTTAAATTATGATAATTATATGAAAAACTATGAAAAAAGAACACAGAAAAGGATTTTAGATAAGTTAATCATCACCTAAAAAGGAATAAAAAAAGCAAAAAAATGTATGCATCAAATTCTTAATTAATCAGTATGAATTCTTCATAATTAAATTTCATAAAAAAATTACATAAATGTTCAAATGATTTGACAAAATTATAAATATCTCCTTACACTCAATAGGGAGCACTCAAATCAAGAGTAGAGAAACAAAATATCATGTTATTTGTTAAGAGAATGGAACCCCAAGATAAATTTTTTTTCTTTTTTTTTTAAATTTTGGAGATCTTACACCATTGATCACCCACAAGATTTCCTTGCAATGTGTGAGCAAAAAATTTAATTTAAGAGAAGATGAAAAGTAAAGTAGAAAATAATGTAAAAAAATGTTGCACTTAAACATCATGACTTCTCTAATACCAAATTTTCATCTTCATAAGTAAATGATAATAAAATAGTGCCTAAAATATAAATAAATGAAATGATGTTAAGCAAGAATATTCATAAAGATGAATATAAGAAAAATAATATAAATTTTATATTTTTTAAAATACTGAGTTAATAGGAGAAATAAGGTAGATCTTAACTTAGAGCTACAATAAGCCTTGGTAACTTAATTTGAGAGCTCTATGAATAATAATGAAAAAAAATGCTAATTTTAAAAAAGAAAGGAAATAAGATATTTAAGGTTAGGTGGGTAGATTTAATTTTTTTTAAAAAAAATACTACAACATTACATGAAAAATATATTGGTAAATGTGTGTTGAATGACACTTAAGAAAATCTATCTCATGAGATAATTGAGGCTTTAACTTATCCTGTGCTTCATGGCGTTTTCTTTGAAATAAGTGAGATGTTAATGAAAATTGAGAAATAAGTATTGTATTTTAAAAATGGGGTAATTGCATGCATAACACTCGAGACAGTGTTATTTATAAAATCCAGCACCCATGTGATATTTTTGAACTACTGAACCGATGTATTTACGCATGTCACGATCAAAACATTGAGAATTTGAGAAAATGAAAAT